GCACCCGCGTGGGAGACCCAGAAGAGGCTCCTGGCTTCGGATTGGCATAGCATCAGCCGTTGCGCTCACTTGGGGAGTGAATCATCGGACGGAAGATCTTCCTCTCTGTCTCTCCTCTCTGTATATCCACCTTTCCAATAAAAAAATAATAATAAAAATAAATCTTTAAAAAAAAAAAAAAAAGACGGAGACATGATCAGCCCACTGCATGAATTCCCCATCAGAATGGACACCACTACCATGGAAGCCAAAGGGGCTGCTAGCTTCCACTGAGGCCAAAGGCTTTCAGGACAGCAGCGTCCCCTGGGGCCTCTCCTGACAGGCCAAGACCGGGGACCACTGGAGAGCACCGTCTCCTCCGTTTCACACGGTACATGGCAGGGGCCCTGAGAAAGGATAAAGCCTGCTGAGGGACAGGGTGACCCATGATGCAGGTCCCTGCGGCTGTTCACACCACCAACCCCCGCTCTGCCCTGCCCCCTCCTCTTCCTTGCTGGAAGTCACCAGAGACCACGAGCCCAACTTAAAAACACAAAACAGGACCCACAGTGTGGCTGTTTCAGTAACATCCTGCCGCAGCGGTTTGAGGGGGAGAAAGAATCAACAGGATTCCAGTCCTCTCTACCAGCCAGAGCACCGCTCCAGTCTCAACAGACCCTGGTATCCTGTGGGAGTCCATCCCCTCATCTCCCATTGCCATTCACACCAGGGGGCCCCAGAGTCTCACAAGGCAAGGGCACAGCCTACTAAGGGTGCTCTACACAGCTTAGTCCTCAGATCCCATGAGAAGGAGTAGACAAAAACCCATGGAACTCCAGTAATGGCCAAGAGTCAGGGGACAAAGACCAGAACCTGGGAAGTCACAGAAAAATGCCTGAGCGTAGGCAGGCTGTAGGCATTAGCACGGTTCAGCGAAAGTTTCCAACCCGCCTCCGGTCCTATTTTATAGGTAAGCATCACCATGTGACTTGATTTGGCCCATGAAATTTCACTTCCCGGTAGAAGCTTTAAGAGTTGGGTAAGGAGCCTGGCATGGTAGCCTAGTGGCTAAAGTCCTTACCTTGCATTCATCAGGATCCAATATAAGGACTTATTTTGGGCCCTAGATGCTCTACTTCCCTTCCAGCTCCCTGCTTGTGGCCTGGGAAAGCAGTGCAGGACGGCCCAAAGCCTTGGGACCCTGCACCCACGTGGGAGACCCAGAAGAAGCTCCTGGCTCCTGGCTTTGGAAGCTCAGCTTTGACTGTTGACGCAACCTGGAGAGTGAACCAATGGATGGAAGATATTTCTCTTTCTCTCCTCTCTGCAAATCTACTTTTCCAATAAAAATAATAGCTGGTGTAAGATTCATTAACACTCTTCTTCTATCCAAGTGGCCAGAAGTGTTCCAATCTGTTGGTAAGGGTCCCACAGCGAGGCCAACATAAAGCAGAAGTGCAACAGCCAGCCATGTAACCATGAACCGCTATCATGTTACACCCCTGCGCCTTGCACATTGTTGATTTATCAGGATAGCAGCAGTGACTCCTCAGCTGTCCATGTTCAGCAGGGCTGGCCTTTCCCTTCCCTGGCCTTGGGGAGACAGGAGCTAACGTTACCAGTCAAGCAATCGGCAGGGGCTTGGGAGTACCTGCTATGTGTCCAGACTGTGCTAGTAAAAAATAAAAATAAATAAAAAATAAAAAAAACCACGAGATGCTGGGGCCAGCTTGCTTCACGAAGAAGCCACTACAACACTGACACCCCAAATTGCAGCGACATCTTAAGCCCCGCCCACTAGACTTCTGATCTTGGAAAAGCAGCAGAAGATGGCTCAAGTGCTGGGGCCCCTGCCACCCAAGCAGCAAACCCAGAGGAAGCTCTGGACTTGTGCCTGTGGCCTCACCCTGCTCTGGCTGTGTCAAGCACTTGCAGAGTGAAAAAGATAATCTCTATCTCTCTTTCTCTCCCTCCTGCTCTCTCTGTTCCTTTGCCTTTCAAATAATAAATCTTTTTTTTTTTTTAATTACCTCACGCAGTGGACTGGCAGCTAGGGTCCTCGCCTTGAATGCACCAGGATCCCATGTGGATGCCGGTTCTGATCCCGGCAGCTCTACTTCCCATCCAGCTCCCTGCTTGTGGCCTGGGAAGGCAGTCGAGGATGACCCAAAGCCTTGGGACCCTGCACCTGCATGAGAGACCCAGAAGAGCTCCAAGTTCCTGGCTTCGGATCAGCACAGATCAGGCCGTTGCGGTCACTTGGGGAGTGAATCATCAGATGGAGGATCTTCCTCTCTGTCTCTCCTCCTCTCTCTCTCTCTATATATATATGACTTGCAATAAAAATAAATAAATCTTTAAAAAAAAAATCACCTCTGAACGGACAGCATTGCTTAAATTAGAAATGAGGAAATCTGGCTTGTTACGAGACCTCAAGCAAGTCTGTAATCTCTATGGACTGCAAGATCTTCCTGAAAAATGGAATAGGTAACCCAGTTAAGGCAAGTAACGTTTCTCCCACAGTGCTTGGTGTTCCATTTCAATAAGACCATTATCGCCATTGTTATTAAACCTTTCAGATAACTGCCATGAACTTGTCTATAACCCTGTCTACCTTTTTTTGAAGGTGTATTTACTTATTTGAAACATAAGGAACAGAGAGGTCATGACAGGTATCTCATATCTGCTGGTTCACTTCCCCAGTGGCTGCATCAGCCAGGGCTGGGCCGGATTGAAGCCAGGAACCCAGAAAGGCCTTCCAGGTCTCCCATGTGGGTAGCAGGGCCCAAGCCAACAGCACCCACTTCCTTCCTAGGTCATTAGCCAAAAGCTACGTGGTTAAGACTTGAACTGATACTCTGACATGGAATGCCACACACCGCAAGCAGCAGCTTAACCTACTGCACCACAATGCCAGACCCTTTACAACATTTCTTCCTAGGACTGGCACAATGGCATTGCATGGACACTACCAAAACAAGGCCAAACCCCTCGGTGGAACAAAGTGACACCTCGGGAAATGGCTGCAGAACCCAGGGCTCCCCTGCTCCCTGGCCTACTGGGAAGGTCACTTCACATGCCACAACCTTCAGGGCAGCCTCTCCCTTCCCAAACCAGGGAAGGAAGGAGCCCTCCTGGAGACTAGCACAGATGCCTGCTGGGAAAGGGGTTGGGCAGCCAACCCGGTCCGTAGACCCCTGCCCTCCAAGCTCTTACTTCTTGGAAACAGCCCTGGAAGCCCCAGAGGCTGGCACTCCAGCACATCTACAGGATACTGCTGGAGCAAGTGCAGATCAATAAACACTGGTACACACCTACAACATGTCTAGACTGCGCTCTAAGACCACACAAGTTTACAGTCAGGCAGACAGTCCCGAGCTCTAGAACAGGGCTTGCTACAACGCCACGCAACACCCCTCTCCCCACCCAGGCTCTCAGTTCTACGTTGTTTGTTAGATGAGCTGAAGATCACATTAGGTGACCCAAGCAGGGTCACACCTTCAGGGCTGTGGGGACTCATCTACACACAGAGTTTTCCATTGTGCAACAAAGGATGACACAAGTGAGAGGGAAGGAGAAAAATCTACCATCCCCCTGGCCTGGTCAGCGAGCGTTGAGAAATCCTCCAGTGGTCAAAACCTGGGGAGGGTTCAGAGAAGGCAACTGAGGCCTCAGTGGCTGAGTGGGAGTCATTTTGAGAGTGCCTGCCACGCTGGAAAGAAAGGGGCTCCCACCAACCACCGAGCTGGCTGAATGGCCAGGGATGCCGCAGGTTTCCCTAAACAAATAGGGCAGGAGCAGGCACTTATTCCTATGCAGCAGGCCAAGGAGGAAAAGGGCTGGCAGGGTGCTGACCCACTCCCACCAGCCTCACAAAGACAGAACAGAACCCTGCAGAGCGCAGCACGCACCTGCGGAGACCCCAGTACCAGGCCGGCACTCAGCGCGTCCAGGACCCGGCTCAGCCACGCTCAGGCGGGTATCGCCTGTCCAGCCCCGGGACGGACGCGCTCCCCGCCCCTACTCCAGAAGTACCCACAGCTTTTTTTTTTTTTTTTTTTTTTTTGCGGGAAGCCAACTTCAAGTCCCGGAAACATGTGTCCGGGAGCCCCTCATCTAACTGCTCCATATTCCTTCACTCACCCCGGGGCACACACTCCTCTGGAGTCCAGCGGCAGTAGCACTGGATGAGCCACAACCTCTCAGAAAAACTAAACCCCCCCATCTCCTAGATGACCAGATCAGGGGGTCTGGTTTGGCTCCCAAACCCCAAGCCTCACATTCCGCACCCAGAAAGGTGCGGTCGCCACGCACTCACGCCCGTGCGGGGCAGGGCCGGGACTGGGACCGGGACCGGGGTCGGGGTGAGGAGGAAGACCCTCCCGGGTCTCAGCGAGCTCCACGGGGGCCACGGGGGCCACGGGGCCCGGGACCCAGCCGGAAGGAGCGCCAGCCCCGGGCTGGCCGCTGGGGACCACGGAGCGGCCACGGCCCAGCCGCTCCCGCCCCGCCCGGCGCCCGGCTTGGGTTCCACGGGGTCCGGCCGCGGCCTCCCGCTCGTCGTCGCGGGCGATCCGAGCAGACAAAGCCGCGCGCGACGCCCCGCAGGCCGCCCACCACACACACACACACACACACACACACACACACACACACACACACACACACACACACACACACACACACACACACACACACACACACACACACACACACACACACACACACACACACACACACACACACACACACACACACACACACACACACACACACACACACACACACACACACACACACACACACACACACACACACACACACACACACACACACACACACACACACACACACACCACACACACAGACCCCGAGCCGGCACGGGAGGGGCGGCTGAGGGACAGCGCAGAGAGCCCGAGCGGAATCCTCGTGCCCGGGGGACGCTCGAAGGGGCGGCCTCAGACAATGGGGGCAAAGGGGACAGGCCCACCGCTCCCGCGGTGATCCCGCGCCCGACTCACCCGGCGGCGGCGGCTCGGCACGACGCGGCCCGGCTCGGCCGAGGAAGTTAGAGCAAGTTCGGCAGCGCGGGCGGGAGGGCGCGACTCGGGCCGGCCGAGCGGCGGGGCGGGGGAGGGGCGGGGCCGGGGGCGCGCGGCTGGCGGCGGCCGAGGGCGGAGCTCGGCTTCCCTGCACCGCCCTGCACGGCCCCGCCCCGGGCCCCGCCCCCGCCGGCAGGCCCCGCCCCGCTCGCCCCGCCCCGGGCCCGCCCCAAACCCGTCCCCTCCTGCTGGCTCCTCCCACGTCCCTTCCCGACCCCGCCCCCGCGGGCGGGCTCCTCCCCGTAGTCCCGCCCCAGGCTCTACCCCTCCAGCTGGCTCCTCCCACGTCCCATCCCGACCCCGCCCCCGCTCCTCCCCAGGCCCCGCCCCGCATGCTAGCCCCTCCCCCAGGCCTCTCTGGCTCCGCCTCTTCTCTGGCCCCGCCTCCCGGCCGGTGCTGCCCCCCTGGGTGGAAGTTGGGGGTCGCACGTCCTGACCCTTTGCTTGGCTGTGAGGGGAGACCCAGGCCCTGTTCCTCCGCCCCGTTGGGCCTAGGGGTCCAGGCCTGGGTGGAGACGGCGCGCCGCGGACGCTGCTCGCCCCTGACCCGACCAAAGCCCGAGAGAAGCACGGACGGCGGGAGGAGGCCACGTGTGGCGGGTCCACCACGGAGTGACCGGGTGGCAATGGGCAAAGGGCGAGGAAGATGGCTGTGAGGAAGGCAGAAGACACTGCTGTCCGCCTCGGAGGCTGAGGCTGTGCAGAAGGGAGTGGTGCGCCAAGATTTTTCGTTTCTTTGCAGAACGAGTGGCGAGAGCAGCCTCGGTGCTGCTAAAAATACCAGGCTTTCTTTGGATCGCCTGCTGAGATTTGTTCCCCGTCTTTGCGCGCGGGGGACATGGCTGGGCGGATGCTTGGACTAGTGGGCAGGGTGAAGGGACACGCTTGGGTGGGAGACCCTCTCTACCCTGCTCCCTGGTTCCGAGCTAGTCTCAGCCTGTCCCGTCTGTAAAACTAAGTGTGGTGTTTCTGAACTGTAACGGAGTATTGAAATGCAGGCGATTTAAGCTATTCCCAGTTTTAAGGATTTTTTTTTTTTAATTATTTTGAAAGGCAGAGTTACAAAGTTGGGGTTGGGACAAACAGAGATGGCTGCCTGCTGGTTCACTCCCCAGCTGGCTGCAGTGAGCCGTGCTGGGCCAAGCCCAAGCTGGGAACCAGCAGCAGCTCCTCCCAGGTGCATGAGCAGGGAACAGCATGGGGAATGCAGTCACTGGGATTTGAACTGGCGCACTGTAGACCCGCTATGCTGCAGCACTGCTCCCCACCCCCATTCCCAGTTTTCTTGCTTGTTATACTGAGAGATGCTGCCCACCCCGGTTCCCATGCTGGGGGTGGAGCAGAGGGGGTAAGGCTGGAAATAACACAGCTGAAGCCTCTTGCTCCCTGCAGCTTGCTAGAGGAAGAAAAGACGGTAATTGCCAAGTTGAATGAGATAATAAGAGGGGAACTACAGGCTGGGATGCAGAACAAGGGCTACTCTGGGTGATGTTGACGTGGAAGGCACAGGAAGCCAGAGTCGGCCTGAGAGGTGGTGGGGAGCTGACAGGCACATGCCATTTGATAACACCAGGTGCCAAAGGCCGCAGAAGGGTGAGCGCTGCAGCCTGAAAGTCAGTGCACCTGTTTACAGCATCAGGCAGGCATCTCACCTGGGAGGCTGGGGGCCGGGGCACCTTGTATATAGCCGCTCTCCCTTTGGACCTCTTAAAACAAACCATGTGCCGCATCTCCCCTGGGTGCTGTGGCCTAGTGGCTAAAATCCTCGCCTTGAACATGCTGGGATCCTCTATGGGTGCAGATTCTAATCCCAGCAGCACCGCCCTCCCTGCTTGTGGCCTGGGAAAGCAGTCTAAGATAAGCCATGGGACCTTGCACCTGCATGGGAGACCTGAAAGAGGCTCCTGGCTTCAGATCAGCTCAGCTCCGGCCGTTGCTGTGGCTTGAGGAGTGAACCATCAGATGGAAGATCTTCCTCTCTGTCTCTCCATGGCATAATCTCTTAAGCCTCCACCCTGGGTCCAACATCCAATATGGTTGGAATCGAGCTGCTCTATTTCTAATCCAGTTCCCAGCTTATGGCCTGGGAAAGCAGTGAAGGATGGTCCAGGTGCTTGGGCTGGTGCGTGCATGTGGGAGATCCAGAAGAAGCTGCTGGGGCTCCCAGCTTTGGACCAGTCCAGCTCCGGCTGTTGCCACCATTTGGAGAGTGAGCCAGCGGAGAAAGAATCTCTTCTGTCCCTATAGCTCTGCCTTTCAAAGTAAAAATAAATCTTAAAAATTGTTTCTGCATGGCAAGGACCTAGAATAAAAATTGAGTCCCAGTTCAGGGATATCCCCGCTTCGGAGTATCCATGCTAGGAACGGGGCCCCAGATGGGATGTGGGGGAGGGAAGGGCCTGTTGGCTGAATCAAAGAATGGAGACATTTTTGTTAAACCGTTGAAGGGGTTAGGCAGAAGGTTGTCATGTTCTGATTTCCTGTTCTATGAAGCAAAAAAATTGCTGACAGGTAAACTGTAACAGCAGGGAACTAATTCGTCTGTTGACAGAGTCCAGGCCAAAGACGGTGGTGGTTTGAACCTAAGTGGTGGCCTTGCCGAGTAATGTGAGGGGAGCTATTTTAGACTTGACGTGGAACTTGATAGGGCACATTGGTAGGATGTCCCCGAGGGGAGGAAGTGGAGGAGAAACCTACCATGGCTTTCAGGCGTCTAGCTGAGCTAAGTGGGTGTGCTTTCCAGTGCCTCTCCTTGGGTGGGATAGCCGGGAGAAATAGGGACCACTTCTTCAATCTTGTTGCAGGCACAGTGAGGGTTGTTTTTGTTTGTTTGTTTGTTTGTTTGGAGATTTATTTATTCAAAATGAAGAGAGAGGAGACAGAGATTTTATATTCATTGGCTCATTCCCCAAATGGCTGTCATAGCCGTGGTAGGGCACGCTGAAGACAGGAGCTTCTTCCAGGCCTCCTACATGAATGCAGCGGCCCAACACAGGCACATTAACTGGGAGCTGGCTCTAAAGTGAAGCAGCCAGGATTCAAATCAGAATACATATAGGATGCTGGCGTTGTGGGTAGCAGCTTAACCTGTTGTGCCACAACAGCAATCTCCCTCCCCTACCCCCAGGCTGAAGTTTGGAATAGCTGTGAGAGATTTAGCCACTAGGAGGATTATGGTTTGAACTGGATTTGGGGGCCTAGTGCAATAGCCTAGTAGCTAATCCTCACCTTGAACACCTAGGATCTCGTATGGGTGCAGGATCAGGTCCCAGATGCTCCACTTTCCATCCCACTCCCTGCTTATGGCCTGGAAGGCGGTGGAGGATGGCCCAAAGGCTTGGGATACCTGGAGGAGGATCCTGGCTTTGGATTGGCTCAGCTCCAGCTGTTGCAACCACTTGGGGAATGAACCAGCGGATGGAAGATCTCTCTGTCTATCCTCTCTATAAATCTGCCCTTTCAGTAAAAATAATAAATCTTTAAAGAAAACGACTGGATAGTTCTCCTTGCTACAAGTATGATGTTCATATGTAACTGCTGTGAGGACGGATGAAAGCAAAGGGTCAGGAAATCGCCTGCATCTTCCTCTGCTTCTCTTGTTTCTTGCCGTGCCTGGGCCCCCGGTGTAACTTGGCTTGTCAGTTTTCTAACTTGAAGAGTCCGGCAGTAAAATTGCAAAAGGGGGCCTACTCCGTGGGTCTGGGGTCGATCCTGGCCCAGGAGGTTCGGTGCATGCGAGGTACCGTCTCCCCCGAACACCCGTGGGAGATGATGCTTTACTTCTGCAGTCCTGAGGAGGCTGAAAAGGCAGAGCAGGCTGCGCCCGGGGAGGAGTTCCCGGTGAATGGACTGCCCCCACCCCCACCCCACCCCCGCTCTCGAGTTAATGCTTACCCAGCCCTAGGGTTGCAGGCTGATCTGAGGGCATTCAGGTGCCCTCTGTGCCCATCCAGCAGTTCCCCACTGAAGACTGGTCAGCAGCACCATGGCTCAAGCCACCGAATAGAAAGGAATGACCCTTGAGTGGTCTTTTTTTTTAAAGATTGATTTATTTTTATTAGAAAGGCAGATATACAGAGAGGAGAAACAGAGAGGAAGATCTTCCGTCTGATGATTCACTCCCCAAGCGGCCGCAACAGCTGGAGCTGAGCCAATCTGAAGCCAGGAGCCAGCAGCTTCTCCCAGGTCTCCCATATGGTTGCAGGGTTCCAAGGCTTTGGGCTGTCCTCGACTGCTTTCCCAGGCCACAAGCAGGGAGCTGGATGGGAAGTGGAGCTGCCGGGATCAGAACCGGCGCCCACATGGGATCCTGGCGCATTCAAAGCGAGGACTTTAGCCACTAGGCCACAGCGCCAGGCCCCATTGAGTGGTCTTAAGCTGATCTGCGGTCTCTGAAGCCGACTTGGAGTGAGGATGATGGAAAATAAACACCAGTTTCTAAAGAGGAAAAAAATTGCACCCAGCGCAATAACCTAGTGGCTAAAGTCCTCGCCTTACATGCACCAGGGGCCCATACGGGAGCTAGTTCATGTCCCAGCTGCTCCACTTCCCATCTAGCTCCCTGCTTGTGGCCTGGGAAAGTAGTTGAGGATGGCCCAAAACCTTGGGGCCCTGCACCCACGTGGGAGACCCAGAAGAAGCTCCTGGCTCCTGGCTTTGGTTCACTTCAGCTCTGGTCATTGCAGCCACTTGGGGAGTGAACCAGCAGATAATAAAAAAAAAATCTTTCTCTTTGTCTTTCCTCTCTGTATATCTGCCTTTCCAATAAAATGAAATAAAATAAAAATATGAACTGGATTTGGCTCCCCAGTCTCATGCAAATGCTTAGCCCCCAAAGTCTTCTGTTGATACTTAATGGGTTAATGTTATGGATTAATGGTGATTGATCTTATTATATGGCCTAATGGACAGCTTTTGGGTCATGGGCAACTTTCCCTTGCCCGTGGTTGTTAGCTCATACCAGAAGGTTGGCTATTGAAGGCAGCTTTAGCCTCCTTTTC